TTCCTCCATCGAGTCCGATCCAGTTTACACCATGCTCGCCGGTATTGTTGAACGAAGTTCATCAGCTTCTTTGCAAAGGAGCGATTTGTCAACTATCTCGATCTGAAGGACTCCATGGATTCTATTCGAGATATTTTACGGTCCCTAAATGGGATGGTGGTCTCCACCCTATATTGGACTTACGAAACGTGAATAAATTTATCACACCAAAGAAATTTAGAATGACCACTCTTTAAAATATCCTGCCGTTGCTGAGGAAAGAGGATTGGTTCACCTTGCTGGACTTGAGGGATGCCTATTTCCACATTTCCATTCATCCGTGTCAGGCGTTTCCTCCGATTTGCTGTTGCTTCAGAAATATTTGAATTGAAAGTGCTCCCCTTCGGGCTGGCTACTGCCCCACTGGTCTTTACAAAATGTATGGCTCTGGTCTGCGCACATCTGCGGGTCATCAGTATTCAAATATACCCTTACTTGGACAGTCGTTGTTAGTCTCCCAGACCAGAGAAGGTCTTCTGTCGTCCATTCGCACAACTTGTGGCCTATTGAATGACCTTGGACTTTGTATTAACCTAGAGAAATTCTCTCTTATTCCTGCGCAGACAATCAACTTCATCGGTGCCTGCTTGGATTCTATGGCGGCGAGGGCATTTCTCCCTCAGGATCGACAACATACCCTTGGCTTACTCATCCATTGAATTCGACGGGACAGAATAGTTCCGGCTCGCTCGATCCAAAGACTCTTGGGACACATGGCCGTGTTGGTGGCCACCGTTCCACATGCCAGGCTACGACTGCGACCTCTACAACTTTGTCTCAACAAGATGTTTCGACCACATCAGGACTCACCTACAAAACTGATCTGGCTTCTGTCCTCTGTCCTACGATCCTTAATATGGTGGACAGTCCCAGCCAATTTGACTGCAGGGGTTCTGTTCCGACCCCCACAACCTACTGTGACTCTTTGCACTGATGCATCCCTGATCGGCTGGGGAGCAGTGTGTTCTACTCTTCGAACCCAGGGTGCTTGGGATCGACAGGAGTCCACAAGCATATCAACTTCCTCAAGCTGTTCGCAATCTTCAAAGCTCTAAGATCCCTCGAGGACATGCTCCGACATCAAGTTGTGCAGATAACTTCAGACAATATCACGGCAGTGTTCCATGTGAACAAGCAAGGTGGAATGAAGTTAGCTGCTTTGGCTCGACTTGCAATGCAAATATGGGATTGGTGCATCCCGAGGGACATTACTCTCATAGCAGTTCATCTAGCCGGTACAGACAATGTTGAGGCAGATCTACTGAGCAGACAGATGCCGACATCCCATGAATGGGAGTTGGATCGACAGATCTGTAATCAACTCTTTTGTCGTTGGGGGCATCCCGACATGGACTTGTTCGCTACCAGACAGAACAGGTATGCGAGAATTTCTGCTCCAGAGCAGGAATCGGACTGGGATCGACAGGGGATGCCTTCATGATCCCCTGAAATGAGATGAATTTTTACGCTTTCCCTCCTATCCCACTTATAATGAAAGTGGTATCAAAGATTATTCATGACGAAGCCACAAGACTGTTGATCACTCTATGGTGGCCACGCCAACCATGGTTTTCCACGCTTCTCCGCATGTCTCATGGGGAATTCCTTCATCTTCCATCCGTCCCGTATTTAATAACACAACAAGAAGGGACGGTACACCACCCAGACTTGGCATCACTGAAACTTACAGCCTGGTGGATTCGATGAACTTCAATACTGACTCGATACCGGCAGCATCTAGCTCCTCCGGGGATCAATCTCACGGACCCGATACTCAAACTACCACATCGGATCCATTGGCTCCTGCTACCCTGTAGGGTTCGATAGATTTTCCATCGGGATCAACAGCCCTCCATTCCAAAATCCAGGGAATTCTCGAATATGCATTGAGACCGTCAACCCGAAAATCCTACGCGGCAAAGTGGCGGAGATTCTCTTCCTTTCCTGAGTCTTGTTCTTTCAATCCGCATTCGGCATCAATAGCAGATATCCTTCAGTTTCTTCTAGAACTACACTATTCGGGACTTAAGCCATCGTCTATAAAGGTGTACATAGTGGCAGTTTCATACTACCGTGGCACAATACATGGATCATCCATTTTTTCACAACCACTTGTAAAAAGATCGCTTAAAGGACTTCAAAATCTGCATCCGACAATCAGGCCTGTCATGCCTACTTGGAGTCTTTCAGTGGTGCTTCAGGCACTCACTAGAGCCCCATTTGAACCCATGGCAACTACAGATTTGCGACTTGTTTAATGGAAAACAGCCTTTCTTGTAGCAGTCACATTGGCTTGCAGAGCTAGTGAATTGTGTGCTGTCAGAGTAGATCCTCCATATTTAAATTTCCATAGGGAAAAGGTTGTTCTACTCATGGATCCTTCTTTTCTGCCGAAGGTGGCTACTCCTTTTCATATGAATCAGGAGATTGTATTACCTGCCTTCTTCCCTTCACCATTGAATCTGATTGAGAGATCATTACATGCGCTTGATGAAAGGCGCTGTTTAGCTTTCTACAGATCGAGGACTGAATCTATCCGGCATTCCAGTCAGCTTTTTGTAAAATATTCTGAGCAGGATAGAGGATCTCCAGTTACTTCTCAAAGACTTTCTAAATGGATAGTCCAAACCATTGTATTGTCTTATCAGCTGGCCAAGATAGACTTACCTGTTGTTCCAAGGGGTCACTCCACAAGAGCAGTGGCCGCTTCTTCGGCTTTTGCAGCAGGATGTCTGCAAGACTGCAACTTGGGCTGCTTCATGTACTTTTCCTAGACATTACCACCTAGACGTACGTGGAAGACAAGATTGTTCCTTTGGAAGGGTGGTTCTCACAGCTGTTCTTCAGTAATGACACCTACCCTCCTCCGATTATGGTAAGCTTGCTAGTCACCCATATGTGTGATGCACAGAGGCCACGGCAAAGAAAAGCAGGTTGCTTACCTGTAACTGATGTTCTTTGAGTGGCCAACTGTGCAGTCACACAACCCACCCGCCGGCCCCGCTTGGTGTCGGTGAGTGGATTTTCTCATCGGTACCACATCTTTATATCCACGGTACTGATGATACTTGCTGTAATGTATTTCTCTCCCACAAGGGGGCGAATGATCTGTCTTCAAAGACTGAGTAAAATGACGGATGCTCCGCTCTATATATACTAGTGAGGGGGAGGGGAGCGGACCTTCCCGCCAAAAACCGTTAGCTTTCAAACTTCCGGCCTTAGGCGCTGCACAGGCGCAGCACCCATATGTGTGACTGCACAGATGACCACTCGAAGAACATCAGTTACAGGTAAGCAACCTGCTTATTCTGGAAGAAGTATCTTGACTGAGGGTTTGGAATATGTAAATTAAAGGTAACAAAATTTAATGACTTGGCTAAAGAAGACTAATCAATGAGCATTTTGAAATGGTTCATGAACCTAGCAAATTCAATTACAGTGATAAATGGTGGTAGCAACATTACCTTTTAATAGCCTTTTTGGTGCAGCCAAACCTATCACAATTTGCGAATACAGTTCTCTTCAGCTGAAATTAAATTGGGGTGGGTAACGCATGCTTCCCCATAGAAGCTCCTTCTGTCCCCTCTCCAAAATTCAGGTTAAGTAAACTTATTTGAAAGAAAAAGACCACTGTAGAGAAGAGAATCCCCCAAAAGGTCAAAATTAAGTTGATTGCAAACTAACTGTGACTGATGTAGTTCTCCATAGCCACTGCAAAGTGCTATAGCTTGGTAGTTTGCAAGCGAACCTACATTTACCCTTTTGGCATACTACACTTGCTGTTAGGCTTGTGGGGACCCAAAGGGCAAAAATAGCACCTTGATCTCTCTCAGTTGCCCTTTCTTGAATATAATAGAAAAATGGGTATGAATTCAGATGTGGGTCCAGTTTTTGAAGCTGACTAACATTTTTCTGAAAGAGTTAAAGAGAGGTCCTCAGAACCCCATCATAATTTAAGCTGAAAACTGATTAAGTTATCATTATTATAGACTGTCTGATAATGTTCCAAGCCTTCAATTGCCCATGGAGTACAGCATTTGATAAGAAGTATTGTGATTACATAAGTATATAATTGATAAGGAATAGTCCTAAGGCAGTTAATGAATGTCTTGCTGCTTGTTATAGCGCATTTCAGTTCTCAAATTTGCTTGAGTAGAGTTTAAAGAACATCATGGGCATACTGTATCATCTTCTAGTATAAAAATGCCAGAGACACATAATCAGTGTTGTATACAACTCTAGAAGGAATTGATAAATGTCAAGTGTGGTTGAAAACTGATGGATTCACTTTGCAGTACTGGGAGAGGTTTTCATAGTCTTAGTTCATAGCTCTTGAATGTTGAAATGAAAGTAATAAATCTGAAAATGCTTTGAGGCTGATATTCTAGGTAAAAAAGTGATTGGAGATAAAGATATGCAAGTCTTAATCATTATAAGTCCTAATCATTATACAAAGTAGGTTGGGTTGCATTTAGAGTTGAGAAGAGGATGATCCTACCGGGGAGGGGAAGATAATTTGGAGATTTACCCCTCTGTACCCCTGTCCTTGGAAAAATCCTCTCAGGAGTGTTGAGAGATTTGAGGTAGTGTGATGGCTGTAGCAGGAAGGAGGCATTGGTGAAAATCACTGCTTTTTACCTTCCTGCAGGGGAATGGTCCTCTGGATCTTAATTCACCAATAGAAGCTGCCTCTCTGTTTGCCAAAGGGTCAACTTTGGAATTAATCTTCTAAGTCTTATTTGATGCAGGAGCAATAGTTAGTCTATTTGCTGGTAATGTGGGTGATAAAATAATATTCAGTTGCCTTTTACTTGCCAAAGCTAGTGAACCAGATCTCTTTCTTTGCAGCTATCCAAATGATTAAGCTTCATCCTTATATAGTAGAATGCCTTAAACTGTTCTGCCAGTACATTTTCAAATGCTTTCCATTAAATAATTTTGTGTTTGTGTGATTTTTTTAGGGAACAGTTTAGTCACCTTAACCTTCCACCTGTTTAATCTCCATGGACTTATAGAGCACTTCCAACTAGATACAATGAAGCTCCGCAGATTTTTAGGTAAAAGGCTTTTGCAAGTCCATTTTAAACACTTCTGATAATCTTGCAGATATGCCATTTCAGTAAGGGCATTTCCAGATGTTAAAATCATTTGTCGCACTGAGAAGCAATCTGCATGCAAAGGATGAGAAGTGTATCTATAGTTCTGGATAATAGCCTCTCTGTCAATTTAAATTGTATTCTTCATTATAAAGAAGGGAAGAACACAGCAGGAAGGGGGAAAGATAGCATGGAAGGGTCATGAAATGATGCTCATTGTTATGCAGGAAGAAGTAGTTTTCATAGTGGTGGCCAAGAGATATTGCTGATTTTGAAAGCTTCTTGAGTGGTCCTGGTAGAAGTAGACTTCGTTTTAAAAGCAGTTTACGAATACAAGTAGGAAAAAGAACCATTTTGTGCAGATCACAAAATGTTACTCAGGAATGGGAGGAAAGAATGGATTCCAGGTGATGCCCCTTTGTGGCCCACAAGGTACTCCAAATGATAAAAAAAGGTTAATTGTAGGGTATTTGGAAAAATAGTATCCCCACATCTAAAGTGCTTCCTTAAAATATCTTGTGCAGCAGCTGTCAGAGCTGTGTCACTTACTGTACAAAAAGAATGTGACCAGAAAAGCATTGTGTTAATATTGCACTTAGATCTGCATAAAACAACATTTTATACTTGGTATATTCTTTTCTGGTACATTAGTTATGAAATCTTAAAGGATGATAGACAGCCAAAGGCATTAGATAATGTCTGATAGCAAATAATATTAACTTGACTACAGCAGGTTAAAATTATTTTACCCAGAACTCCAGAACTAGCATTTCTCATGCAGTAATTGTCAGTGTACATCTGCTAAATGTTACATCTATCTCAAATAGGAGTATGCATGAAAATACTACTACTAGTACTACGCCTTAGTTTATCCATTACCTGAATGTGGGGTGCTGCTATTTCAAGGTGGTTGAGTGGCACATAATCCTATGTAGAAGCTGTCTGCTTTTGTAAAAGCCTGTTTTGCAGGTTTGTTCCCCAGTTTTCAGGAGATGAAATCACGCAGACCAGATCTTCGTGTAATTATGTCCTAGTGCAGAATGGGTACAGATCAAATAGAAGGTGCTCTGTGCAGTAGAGGGGAGAAGGTGGGCTTACATCACTCCTACATAATGTTGCAGCAATACTCCTGACTATGAAAGTAGAGTTATGGTTTTTTTCCTGCAGTAATTTGCAGGATATTTTGGTGGGCTTTCAGTCATAGGGTTGTCATAAGTCAGATATGATTTGATGGTGCATAACAGCTTGTTTTTAAAAAGTGTGTGTGATACATCATGTATAGATTAATACAATATTTCTTTCCATTTGTAGTAATGGTTCAAGAAGATTACCACAGTCAAAACCCATATCATAATGCAGTTCATGCTGCTGATGTGACTCAGGCCATGCACTGTTATTTAAAAGAACCTAAGGTAAAATATTGTCATTTTAACTGTGATTGCAAATCTCTGTTAAAATATATTGTTACTAAGTAACAATTTTGTTAGTGTCCTGGCTTCCATTTATACTTCCAAAAATATACTACAATGTTTCATTTATTTATACATGGGGTTGCTACTGAAGAAAAGTTTGTAGATCAAAAACACCATGCAACTTCAGTTTTCCTTCTCTTACAAATTGCTGTCTATATCATAGCGAGTGTGTGACATAATCCAGGGATTTGCTAAAAATATGATAAGAATACATTCCATAAAATGTTCTGCCTTTTGGGGTACAATGAACAGTAGTGAAATGTGTTGGAAGTATTAGCATTGAATATTCATATGGGCATACTTTATATTACAGCTTTCCCAGTCTCTGACTCCATGGGATATTTTACTCAGTTTAATTGCAGCTGCCACTCATGATTTGGATCACCCAGGTGTTAATCAGCCTTTCCTTATTAAAACAAACCATTATTTAGCAACTTTATACAAGGTAAGTAAAAATATATACTGTTCAGAAAAGTATCCATTTAAAACACTTATTTAACAGTAGTCATGAATCTATGGTAGGAGGCTTTTTAAAGTTTTTCCTTTATTTATCCCTCTTTACAACTATTTACACAATGGCTTACTTAAATGCTAAATGTAATAAAACAGAGCCTGACAGATCAAACAGTCACATTTAAAACAGCAGTTAAACATCAGCACTTACATCAAGATCCTTTAAAAGTCCAGGTAAATAAAGTTCTCTGCTCCACCTTCCTAAAAGTTGGAAGCAGAAAGGTGCACAACAGCTTTTCTGAAACTCATCTGCCTTCTCAGCTGACTGTATGACTAAGAGGAGTCTTCTATAGTGTGCTGCAGATCCTAAAGTTAAAGCCTGGTACCTGGAATTGAACTTGGAAGTAAACTGTTAACTGGTGAAACCAAGAGATCTGTGTAATATGGCCTGAATGGGAATGTCCATTGGAATATGTCAAACCTCATTCTGGACTAATCCCACACTGGTATATTACAGTAATCAAAACCAGAAGTAAAATGATAATGAGTGAAGCACAAATCTCCAGATAACCTCTCCCAGTGGTTTTCATGTAGCTAAAACCTTGCCACCAGTGATTATGTTCCAGCAAAAAGACACTTCCTGGAGCCAACTTGGAGAATCAATCCAGAAGCAACCCATGGTGGATCAAAGTGAAAGCCACTGAGATGTCCAGGATTGATAGTGACTTGATAGAATAACTTTTTTTTTCTTTCAGAATACCTCAGTATTAGAAAACCACCACTGGAGATCAGCAGTGGGATTGTTGAGAGAATCTGGATTATTTGCACATATGTCACTAGAAAACAGGTATAGATCAAATTTGCTATAGAATGCACAGTATACATTGAAGACTGATAGAAATGGGAAACTACAGGCAGTCTCTGGGTTGCAGACAAGTTCAGTTCCTGAGAAAATGGAAATTCATCTTTATTTGTATGTAAGTCTGATCACATATAGTTGGCCCTCCACATTCACAGGGGTTAGGGGTGCAGGACTCCCATAGAAGTGGAAAAATCATGAATATCTTTAGTCCCTCCCCACCCAACTCACCAGTGTTTCCTCTTTGCAGCAAGGAAATGCTGGAGAGATTTCCCTCTCCAGATGGGTGGGGCAGAAAGGCATGCTTTGGAGGCTTCCCTCTCTCCCCTTTCACTTCCTTTCTCTGCATGGTAATGGCAATTTTCTGCAGTAATTTTAAAACATTAATAGGCATTATGGCAGTTTGTTTCTAAGTGTGGGTTATTTGTAGCTTGGACTGACTGCCTGTCATTCATAGGAATGACAAATTTTGAGTCAGTTTTGATCCAAACTTTGTGTAAAGCCTGCTGGCTATATATTTGAATTTAAATGTAAGTTAAATGTATACTTCATTTCATACTAATTCCTGTGTGTCCCCAATTTCAGGCAGCTGATGGAAAGCCAGATTGGGGCTCTGATTCTTGCCACTGATATCAGTCGGCAAAATGAGTATCTGTCCCTGTTTCGCACTCATTTGGACAAGGAAGACTTGTGCTTAGCAGAAGAGAATCATCGTCATCTCATTCTTCAGGTACTTTAGTTTGATTTCTAAATGGAAAAGTAGTAAAATAGTTACTAAGGAGCTACTATACAGTAGCTTTTGGCTACTGCATGTGGGTTTGATTAAGGCTTGCTGCATTCTGTAGGTGTAGTTCTTATAAAAATACAGTTTGCTAGTACTGAAAACTAAGGCCTTCTGGGTCAAATATTTTTCTTATTCTGATCCTCCGGTGTTCTTCAGTCCTTTTCCAGCAGGGCCGGAAAAAGGGTAGTTTTGGCAAAAGGGTAGTTTGTCTTGATGCATCTTAAGTTCTTTGGTTCTTGTGATACTACAAAAAATGAACCAGCAGGAATGTTTACTTTTCAGAAAAATCATTGTTCTTGTAATAGAACAGAATGACACCAATCTTTTTTTACTGAAAATCTTTGATAGAAACTTTAAAAAAATGCTTTGGTAGCCTAAGTAGATTTTAGTGAACAGTGTGCTTTTAGTACAGTTAGTTGCAACTCCACCAGCTGGAAACATTGTATGGCAGAGTCATTATTTATTGACTTTCTGCTCTCTTTCTATTCATGGTAACTTAGTTTGGATTGAACAGGGAAGTGGCTGGATGGAATTCTAAGTGCTGCATCACAGACTTAACTCTGATTGCTACAGGGGTTGATTTGACTTGGAAATTTGTACCCTGAATTATTAGTGGTGAAAATGACTTGTTGATAAAGGCTGTAGATCACTGCCCAGGCAATTGTATCCTTGCAAGGATCAGAACTGCTGCAGTGTGGGAAGCAGTAATTTAACACCTGGCTTTTCAGAAAAGAAGATATGATGTGGCAGAAGGAGCTCCTAATGGACTGTACAAAACTTGTAATTGGATCTGTCTAATTCTGAGTGATTTTCACTTACTTGCTTTGTCTGTCCTCAAAGCTCACATCTTCCTGGAAGCCTTAGATCACCCCCCCCTCCCCAATCTCTGCCCTTCAATGGATCTAAGCCAAATCATGCATAATTGAAATGGTTGAATATTACTCCCCTACCTTACTCATGTCTTTGTTTCACCTTCTCATGTCTTTGTTTCACCTTCATTTCCATGTGTCTGATTGAAATGGTAAGCTTACTGGGGAGAGACCTGTTGTACCTGGTTCATGTAAAATGCTGTGTCCATTTAGTAACACTTTAAGATGATTATGATGATGATACAGCAGAAAATCAAACACAAACATTCTAGGCTTGACGTAAAATTATATGGCTTGTTACCAGTTATTTATTTAAGTGGGAATGTAACATCTAAGTTTTGAATAGGTTTCCTTCCCTGTGCAGTTAGTTGTGATCTGCTTCAGTCACTTGGACTGAAGTTGCATTCAGTTTAGTGCTCATTCATACATAATTGCGTGCTGCCTGGAGGATAGCCCCCCTTGTTACTCATGATCTGTTATATTTGAGGATTTTAAAGGTAGCTTGTTTTGAAGCTGTTTACAGTTTAAGCTGCAAAATTAAGTGTGTGATATTAGGTTGTTAATTATACCTTCTGAAATACAACTAATGACTCTTTATTTGCTTAGATGGCTTTGAAATGTGCTGATATTTGCAATCCATGTCGGACTTGGGAACTCAGCAAGCAGTGGAGTGAAAAAGTAACGGAAGAATTTTTTCAGCAAGGCAAGTAGTGAAAAATAAATTGATTTCACCTTGGAAGGTGAAACAAAAGGTGATAAAAGTACAGTGGTTATGTGTGGCTTTACAGGAGATTGAGAAACTTATTTGGGCTATTTCCAAGAGTTCTTAAGATATGCAGTTGAAATAGTTTCCTCAAATCATTGTTCCTGGATAGATTGCATCTCTGCAGAATGCTTGACATTTCTGCTTTCCTTGAATGAAAATCTATTTCACATTAACAAAAATGCTGCACTAGTTGCTAGCTTTGACACACTATTTTATGGATACTAATTTAAGCTGCTGGTGCAGTTGGAATGAAATTACAACTTGATCAAGTTTCTGCACTTTTTTGCATATTTGAGAGTATATCTAAAATCTGTATACCTGTGAATCTTCACTAGAACTGCATCAACAATTTTGTAAGCTATTAAAGTTACTGATACCAACTAATGCCTTATTGGCTTAGATCATGGCTCCTCAAACTATGGTCCGCGGGCCGGATCTGGCCCGTCATGCTCATTTATCTGGCCCGCCTCAGAAGTTTTGGACTCCCTGTGCCTGCTGCTGCTGCTGCCACCTGCCTCATCTGCTACCACCTTGCTTCACACACCTGCCACCGCTTCACCGGCCCACACCCACGGGCACCCCCACCTCACCGGCCCACACCTGCTGCAGCTGCCTTTCAACTGGCCCCGGGTTGAAAAAGTTTGAGGGCCCCTGGTTTAGATTTTGAGGGCGCTGGCCTTGGAAGATGACCAGTATCTTCTTTCTATTTAGATAATTGAATAGCAAAAGTGGCATGGTGGCATGTCTCATTGCTTTCCTCTGTTCAGTTGTTTTCTTTTGAAATGCATTTATATAGTTCAGCAATAAAGTCTTTCAGACAAAAAAAGGGAGATACAGAATCTCATTCTGATGGCTTGGCTGTGTGTTTTTGATCCACTATCTGAGTGCATCTCCTAGTTTTTTGCAAGTTATTCCTATGTAGATGATTATTTATTTATTTGGGATTCTTAGTTATTCCTGTGTAGATGATTTTATTTGTTTGTTTGTTTGTGATTCTTATATGCTGCCCCATTCGCATAAGCCTCGGGACGGCTTGCAATACTTATATTGCTGGCTGAAAGTAATTATCTCCTAGAGCTCATTTCTTTCTGACAGTGATTTTTTCTGTTGAAAAAAAGTGCCACTTATCTGTTAGTGCTCAGTGAGAGTCATTGTCTGATGAATTTCTAGCTTACTCTTTGGTGAGAAAGGAAAGGTAACATCTAATACAGGACAAGGGGAAAATACAGTTTCCCTTCACTGTTTACAATTCAGTCTATTCCAAAATGTTTCCCCAACCCTCTCAAGCAGATTTGGGGACTTCATAGGGATGGCAGGGGAGTGAGAAGGAGTTTTACCTGCATTATCCTGCTAGCTACCAGATAAATCCATATTCTTGTTTTTACCAACTAGCTTTTCCTTTTAACTGATTGCTGTTTATAGCTGTGAACAATTATCATTAAAGTAGTCAAATGATTAACATATATAGTGATGCCTCGTAGTTCAAACAACTCTAATTTCAAATGATCCAGGTTTGAACATTAGGATCGAGATAAAATCACTCCACAGTTTGAACGATGCTTCTAAGTTCAAAATGTGAGTGAAGTAAAAAAAATGCAGTTGCAGAGAAAACATCAGTTCTGTGCCCTAGTTGGAAAAAAAGCGTCAATGTCCTGAATCAATTTGTTTTCAATCGATTCATCTTGACTTGAATCGATTAGTCTTTGAATTGATTCATCTCGAATTGATTCATGTTGGATCGATTCAGGACATCGAGGCAGCCATGACAGCACTGGGGTAAGTGTGTTTGAAGCGAGGAGGAGTAATTGAAGGGGATTAATGGCATTGAGTCTTTTATTGTAATGTATTTTTAAATTAAAATTTCACTATTTTTTTATCACACCTCATATATAACCCTGAACTTAATTTGTTTCAGAAGGCTGTATTTGCTGTTTAAGTTTACCAAAATGGGTATTGTTTAGGGTGTGGAAATGGATTAATTCACTTTTAGTTATTTCTAATGGAGAAAATTGCTTCGGACTTCAAACAATTCAGAGTTCAAACGGCCTCCTGAAACTAATTAAATTTCAAGTATGAGGCACCACTGTAGTTTTAAATTCTCCTGATGTATTAAAAAACTGGAGTTGCATTTCTTAGATTTATTATTTATTTTCCCTTTAATTGAAAAAATTAAATGGCAAGTTCCATTTCCAGGACTGTATTAAATGGCATATTGAAATAATCTGTTTTTAGGAGATGTTGAGAAGAAATACTGCTTGGGAGTGAGTCCACTTTGTGACAGACAGACAGAAACTGTTGCCAACATCCAAATTGGTAATTGTAAATCTTTGTGAAAAGTTGTTATACTTCCCTTTAAATTGAGGGGGAAGGTAGAGGTTTAGGGGGAAGGTAAAAATAAAGTGTGTGATCAATCTTAAGTGTTTTTGAAAGTTTCTAAAAAGAAATATTTTCATTCTTTAGTGTGTCATCTTCTGTGAAAGTGTTTGAATGAGACTTACATTAAAATATTCTGTGTCCATGAAGCAAGAATTGCACAGACACTGATCACATCAGAACTATTTTTCATCTGTGATTTATATTTCTTTGCCTGGCATAACTCTGGACAAATGCCATTTGAAGGAGGTTTCATTTTTACAGCAAGTTGTTTTAAATGTTTACAGTATTTATATAATTTGGATACAATATCCACAGCATCGTTTCATCATCCCAATGTGCTGTGGCATCCTTCATTTGTTTCCTGCATATCCTGGTTTGTAGTAACCATAATTTGCTGTGATATTGGAGTAGGGCACACTGTGGTTATCATACTTTCTCTGAGTTCACACATCACAGCAAATAACCTTGTGCAGTTTCCATGGTTTGTGGATTTTTGCCTGAACGTACGAGTGTGCAAAACCTGCTTATGCCTTTGCTGCCTATGAACCTCAGCCTTGTCCAGATTGGTCTGCTGAGGTTTTGAGACAGGTTCTCCCTCTTCCCTCTCCTGAATGTATCTGCAGCTCTGCAGTGTTTTCTAGTCCCTCCAGCCCACAAAGAATTTCGTTTTAAATCATAATACAATTCCCACTTCTATCTCCATGCATTAATTTGCTTTCTCCTGTTTTCAAAAGTTTAAAGGAAACTGATTGGTTGAATATAAAACCATTTGCCTAGTTTACTACTTTAGTAGTTGTTTGTCTAGTAGTTAGTTATATAATCTAGTTGATTATGATTGCTGGTCTGAACTGTATGGGAAACTATATCCCCAGAAGGTTTGTAACTTCCTGCTACTTGCCAGTTTTTGTTTGACTCTTTGACTCAGTAGCAACCTCAAATATCCTCCAAAATAAACAAAAGTTGTTTCACAGTGGGTTAGAGGGACAGCAGGCTATTTCTTTGGATAGAACACAATTTTGCTTTACTAACTTTTAACATGCACAATGCTTTCAATAGTTGGTCATGGCAACATACAGGGGTTAAACGGCATGAAAAATACTCATTTAAAAACTAATATTGAAATGTTAAACTTAAAATTCACAAAGTTTTTTCACTGTATTCTATCGTGACGTCTAGGTTTTATGACCTACTTGGTGGAACCATTGTTTGCAGAATGGGCTCGTTTTTCCAACACCAAGTTGTCTCAGACAATGCTCGGTCACTTGGGACTAAATAAAGCAAGCTGGAAGGGTGTACAGAGAGAACAATCCAGCAGTGGTGATGATACTGATCCTGCATTTGAAGAAATGGACTCTGATGTAGTACCTCAGGAACATCGACTATCTTGACCCCAGAATCTGCTTAACAAACTGCCTGTTGCCTGATACCTGCGAAACAGGGTTTGAGGATAAATTATGTCTGACTGCCAAGGTTTCAGTGTAAACAATGCCAGCATTATTTATTTCCAAGCTTTCCTTTGATAAATCATTTGAACCCAGTATCCAGTTACAAGACCTGAACATAGAGCAATATGCGTATGCCTCGGTTGGCTTCTGCATGGAACCTTGAATATGCAAACTCAAAGAGTGAATGAACCTTGATGTAGAAAAGTACAAGATGTAATGTGCCACATTATTTTATTTGTTTTTAAAGGAAATTTGAAATAAGGCCTTCAAAGTTGCCACATGACATGGATGATTCCATTCTCTTAAATGTTAGCAAGATTCCATTCAGTCTTTGTCTAAAGTGTGGAAATGTGAAGTGCCCATACTTGGCTGCCTTGGGCAAGAACTGATGTTTGCAAATGTACTTGGAAACATAGGTTTTAAACTAACCTTTCTGCATGGCTCTGAAGGAACCACTAACTTTAAAAAGAAAATCAAATCTGAAACTGCAGTTCATTTTCCTCTTAGTTGGCTAAATGTCCCATGCCACTATTTTGGCCATGCGTTGGGAACATTTAATGTAAAGCACAGTCAAACTTTTATTCCACTGCAGAATGGGCATGCAATTTTAGCAGGCAGAAATATTTATGAATTTTGGGAGGGAGGTGGGATCAGAGAGAGGAGAGGAAGAGTCCTAATTGTATTAGAATTCTACAATGAAAACATTTGCATGTTGTTTTCACTATTGTACACTTGAACTGCACATATAAGAAAAAAAGGTGGAATGACTATGAACACCAGAAACAGCTCAGGGTATTTGCCAATCTGAAATAAAGTGGGATGGGAAGTGTGTCCTTCAGAACAAGGGTACAATGCCCCTTTCGCTGCAGAGTGTGTATGCGTGTGTGTTTGCGTCTGTGTGTATAATTGGGGGGAGGAAGGGGGAGATGGGAAGGATTTGAAAGGCAATGTTTTTTATTTATTCTTTTTAAAATGTGACATTTTCATGAGCAACCACAGGGGGGAAACTAACAGGTTGCTACAGCTGCCTTAAACTATGCACAAAGCTAAGTGACCAAATTTTGTTGTTGATTGAAAAAGTGCATTGTTTACTTATTCCTCCCTCTACTGAAATGTTACCCAATATGGGTTTTTTGATGTGAAAAGGAGAAATGTTTTTAAGGACAAATTTTAAGGACTAATTTTTAATCTTCAAGCATTCCTTTTTTTGTAATTTGTTTTTTTAACATTGTTTTAAGTACTGTAAGCACAACTGTAATCTATTTTGAGAAACTGGTGCTTTCTTTTTGTTCATTTGTATTTCCCTTGTTCTTACTGTAAAGACTGTTTATTCCATTCTGTTTACAGTTGCAACAGCCATTTTTGGGAGAGAGCTTCAGCGTAAAGCCATTTGTTATAGGCTTTGCCATACTCATTTTACTGTGCCTGTTGCTGTTAACTTTTGATTATTAATAAAAACTTTTCACATTATTTCCTGAGTCTACAATTAGATCATATAACCATTTCAATTACATAAGCTTTTTGTATCTCCCTTGAGACTTATTTGAATTCAGATTTTACTGTTTCAAACCTATATTCATAGTAAAATTTGGGGGTGGGAGTCAAATGGTAGTTTCAGTGGGTTGTATCTAATTGTGTCCCCTAGTAGAATGGACACTTTTGGTGGACTGGATCCCCCTATAGCTTCCCAAAACTATTCTGCAGCATTGAAGGATCCTCCAAACTAGATTTGGGAAACTGCAGGAGGGAGATATGAAAAATTTCCAGCATTTGAGTAGAAATCTGCTCATCTAATGTTGCATGGAGTACTCCATTTAGTTGGAGTACTCCATTAATTGTTTCTCTTCAATTAATTCAAATAGGCATGTTAAAACTTCATGGATTTTCTTCAAATACAACTTTATTAGAACTTTAAAAAGGTGGCCTAGTGCTGGTTATAGAAGCTTGACTTTATTCCACTAGTATCACTGTGTAAGAATAGAACAAAACCTGTGTGGATGCTAAACTCATCAACAAAAAGAGAAAACTTGTGCTTCAATCTTACTTCCAAATTTCAAGCCAAAACTATTTATTCAAAATATTGAGAGAATGTAACTATTGAGATAATATAGGTTCTGCCTTTTAAAAGTTGCCACAGGACTCTATACACTTCATACATTTTGAGGCAATTCTGGAGAAATCAACATCCAACAGTTTACCACTTTATTGAATAATAGAGAAGGGTTGAGAACAAGCCATTTCTTGTGACTACAGAAGACAGATTTGCTGTCTCCCATTTTTCCCTAGCATATGGATTTCTGTACCACCTTGTCCAAACTTGGTGTTCAAAGCAGCTTTAGAACATTGCATTTGAGAAAGTCAAAGGATCAGTTCTTTTAGTCATGTTGCATCAAGCACAGATAAACTGAAGAAAAATTGCATCTGTCTAACCATTCCTGCATGATCACCACTCAAGCTTCTGGTAGCTATTCAGTTGCATCCCTTCTGAAAGGTGTGCTAAGCTGGTTGTATTCATGCAACTTTAATGCACATGTATTATCTTTAAGTAGAAGGACAGATCAAATATACCTTAGGGCATAGGTGAGGAACATGTGGTCCTCCAGATTTTAGGGTTTGTATTACATTGTATTTATATCCTTCCTTTTTTCCTCTTGCAAAGAACTCAGGGTGGCTTGCATATTGTAACCTCACAACTACAACCCCTGTAAGATATAATAGTCTGAGAGTCTGTGAGAGGCCCAAAGTCACCCAATGTGTTTAATGGCTGAGTGGGGACTAGACTATGCATCTCCCAGATCCCCTGTCCAACACTCAGAATACATTGGCACACTGGTGGGAGTTACAATCCAACATTGGCTATGTTGGCTAAGGCTGATGGGAGTTGAAGTTTTAGCAACATTTGGAGGGCTGTATTTTTCCTACCCCAAGTTTAAAGACTTGTTTATACTGAAACATTGAGGTTGGTATGTTACTGTTTCTCAGCTTACATGCAAATTTTAAATTAACAGGTTCATATCATCTACTTTGAAAAAAATACAGGAATATATTGTTGGAAGAAAGAAGAAAAGAAACTATGTGAAGAAAAATAAAGTCTTCTGATGTGGCCTCTCTCAAAATAGTTTTGAAAAATTCCCTATTTTCAGATTTATAGCCATAAGTAAAAAGGGATGTTTCAAGTTGTTGCTCGTAAAATAGCAAGAAAAAAGCACTTAATTTTCTCAGTAGTTGAGGAAGCATGTTCTGTGATGACTTAATTTTGCTGCTGTAACTTAAGCATCAGAAACTGCCTTATTAGGGCTATAGCGTGTCTTAATGGCTTGGTAGTCAAGGTAACTGGATTATTGACAACGATAGCTTTATCTGTTACAAGGGTGCCAAGCTATACAGTGGTCCATGGCAACCTTTTACATTATGTAATCATATCTTTAGGGACTGCAGGTGGCGCAGTGGTTTAAACCGCTGTGCTTATATTTTTACACTTTACTGTAGACCTCCAGTACCCAATCAGCACATCAGAGTGCTTGTCACTGGTTTAAAAAATGGTTTTGCCAAATTTGCACAATTTTTAAAATTTGCAATTTTTGTTGTTGTTAGTTGCAAAGTCATGTTGCGACCCCATGGACAACATTCCTCCAGGCCTTCCTGTCCACCATCCCCCAGAGTCCACTTAAGCTCACGCCGACTGCTTCAACGACTCCATCTAGCCACCTCATTCTCTGCCATCCCCTTCTTCTTTTGCCATCTATTGTTTTAATTCAGAGTTGAGTAAATGTGAACTATTGCAAATGCACAGCCTTGCCTTCCAAATTTCCTAGATGGTCAAGGCTTTGCATTGCTTATTTCACTGATATTAAATGGCCTGGTGGTTTGGTTTGTGAAAAGGGGTGGCAAATGGATCAACGGATGCTTGTTTAGACCTGATGGTTCTGTGTGTGCTCCGAGCACCTGGAGCCTCAGGAAAATTGTGAGCTGCACTATTTATGGGTGCATTCAGGCTTCTTTTTTCAATACATTGTTTGGCAGGGATGTAGGCAGACAGAAATCTTTTGTTACTTTGGAGCTTGATGTCTTGAGGGAAAATGGGCTGAAGAGGGAAGAAAGCCACAGTGGCTGCAAAAAAGCTTGTGGCTGGCACAGGCAAGAGAGAGCCAGCAATTGTCCCTGCAAGTGTTCCTTGGACACTGAGAAGAGACATGGGAGTTTTTTCTGCTTTTGCTGAGTGGCTTGCTCACTGCTTACATGCAGGTTCAGATGAAATAACAATCCATCAAGGGTGCAAACCCTAGAATAAGCCATGAGTTGGCAGATTGACTTACTGCAGGAAGCAATCTAGATTTCCATGACATGACAATCCAGCATAGTTACCCATGAAAGGTTGTTGTGTCATGCAAACACAGTCAGTAGTTTATAAGCAACAATGAAAAGTTTCACTCCATTGGTTTTATGTTCTTTTAAGGAACTCATCTAACATCAGTAAAGAATGCAACACAAATCAGTTAGACATCAGCTGCCAGATTGGGCAGTAAAGCCAGCTGAGAATTATGGTAATTGAACCAAAAATCCTACATCAATACAAATTAACTTGTTTCTATGAATATTCAGAAATTGGGTATAGGATTACAGCCTTCCATTATTGAAGAGGCAAGAAGGCCACTGAGTCCAGCCCCTTGTTATTGCAGGACACTAAGTTACACCATATTCAGATGTCTGTCCAGACGCTTTTTCACTCCCCAGCAAGGTTTATTCATTGCTTTAGCCTTCCTGATGTCATCATTGCAGTTCCTTGCTACTTGCTTATATTCTTCCTTTGTAGCCTGGCTTTCTTTCCACATCCTATACATATCCTTTTAAGATTATCTCTTAGCTTTTTGTGAAGCCACATGGGTTTTCTCTATTGTCTACCACTCTTTTTACCTTGTTGAAGCAGTTTGCAGTTTCACCTGAGCATTTTTTTAAAGCTATCCCACCCTTCCTGGGTGCCTTTTCCCTAATTCAGAGTGGCTCACCATGGGATTTTACCAACACCTTGAATTTGTTAAAGTTGGCTTTTCTGAAATCTAGGGTACATGTTTGGCTACATTTAGTTTTAGCTTCCGTTATTACTGAGAATTCAAGTAAAACATGGTCACTTTCCCCAGAGTTCCTGTTACTTTGTCTACTATGTCTTCCCAGTTGGTTAGGATAAGGTTGAATAGAACTGTACCTCTCGTTCCTATGTCTATTTTCTGCTGGAGGAAGTTATCAGTGACACATTATGAATCTGCCATGTTTGGCAGAGTTTGACTCTGAACAGAAGTCCCTCATAAAAACAACATCATGACTCCTTGAAATACTGGCAATTAGGTTTTTTGAAAGCTTCGTCTTTATTCTCTTCTTGGTTGGGTGGACAGCAATAGACTCCAACTACTATAATCCTTTTATTCCTTTTTTTCATTTATATTAATCCAGATACACTTGATGTGATTACTGGACTATTCTTCCTGTATTTCTTCAGAGAGATCTATATCTTTAACATAAAATGCAACTCTGCCTCCTTTTGTTACTTCTATTCCCTTTGAACGTATTATTTCCTGCAACAACTTCGTCGTGGCCTCTGTGCATCACACGTATGGGTGCTGCGCCTGCGTAGTGCCTAGGCCGGAAAGATTGAAAGCTAACGGTTTTTGGTGGGAAAACTCCGCTCCCCTCCCCCTCGATAGCATATATATAGAGCGGAGTGTCCGCCATTTTCTCCAGTCTTTTGCGACCGGTGTTCGTTGTGCCTTGTGCCTGTTCATCTCTCACTTGACTCAGTGTTGTTTGCTACTTACTGTTTGTCTTTTTGCTGTTATTCCAAGTTATTGTTCCCTCGTTGCAGTTTATATCACCTTTTTCTCTTTTTCTTCGTTCCTATTAAAAACAAAACCAAAAACCAAAAATATATTGCTTTTCCCTCTTTCCTATATTCTATTTCTTCTGTTTCTGTGATGGCGCAGCGAGCAGCTTTCCGCAAATGTGTGGAATGTGGATCCAAAATGGCTCCAGCAGACCCACATGACTTGTGCCTCCTTTGCCTCGGCGAGGGGCACAGGACTGATAAATGCCGCCATTGCCTTGCTTTTACTAAGCAAGCGCGAAAAAATAGGGAGAACCAACTGCGGAAGCTCCTATGGGATCAAGCGCCGATGCAATCAGATCAGCCTGCAGTTAAGTCTGGGCCAGCGCATGCTCCATCTGCTAAGCGCAAGGCCACAGCCTCGTCCGCGGCGGTTCAACGCCTAGCCTCTGCCTTGGGCATGTCCGGGCAACACCCTTCACCCACTCCACCTATGTCTCAGCCGCACCCATGGATGATGGAAATTCCCCCTCCGGGGCTCAGCAACCTCTTTCTCCCCTGCGTAAACAACGGGAAAAGAGGAAGCATGGGGGATCGGATCAGTCTTTGGTCCATAAGAAGGTGAAGAAAGATAAGGCGGCCAAACCGCCTCATA